GGAGAGGGCCTAAATATAGCAAATATTTGCCAGCATAATCACTCCATAAACAAGCTGCAGTGGAACGGAGCGTAGGACCGACCCAGGTGACGGATGTCACTCACCCAAGCGTCACATCATAAATAAAACTGAATGAGCCCATTCTCTCTCACGCAGCACCAGGGTGACGCCTGTTCACTCTATAAATATTTATGAAGTCACCATCCTTAAAAGACTCTCTTTTTCCAGGTAAGTAGATGCTAATGAAAAAGTTATGCGGAGCTTTTCCTGCAATTATGAAAACGTCACCATAGCTTTTCAAGTGCATCTCGTGGAAAGGAAAACAAAAAAAAGAGAGAGAGAGGAAAAGGAAAAACCAGCCGTGATGCCATGTGGCTGCTCTACATGGAGATCTCGTTTAAGCCAGTCAAGGATCATTCTCATCTGAAAAGTGACAGCCTCCTCTGGTGGAGGTGGGTGGGGACAGGAGGAGGAACACCATCAGTCCCTTAACCCAGGCCTGCAGAATGAAGGGAGCAAAAGCACATCCTTGTCACCCAAGATCAGAGCCCTCCCACCACCCCTTGGCTGGGGGAGAGGAGGAAGAGAAGGAGACATTCTCCTTAGCGCTCAGCTTTCTGGGCCTGTCTCTTAGTAACAGGAAAAATGTACACCTCCCCCCATTACCCTGCTCATTTGAAAAGAATTCCCAGAATGTGGGGATGTGTGCCTGGTGTCTCTCTGGGGCTTATGCAAAGTCCACCCCTCTTGCCATTGGTTACTCCCTCTGATTGCATTAGGAATGGCACACTAGACACCCCACCCCCACCCTCACCCCCACCCTGCCCCAGCACTACACTGCTGCAAAGGACAGCCCCCTCTGGTTCCTGGGACCTCCCCCGCCCACCCCTCCTCCCAGTCACTGCAGCAGTGTGCCACCTGGGACTCTCAAACCATTGTCTCCACTACAATACACGTTAATTTTCCTGTCACTTTGCAGCTTACATGTTATTCATCTCTTATATGCACCAACGCCCTTGCCCAAGTCCAAGCCTGCTCCTTTCCCAGCGATGGCCTCCTGCCTGGGCTCCGCTCCCCTCCAAACCTCAGGGTGGCCCCTGCTCCAGCAGACCAAGACAGCCCCGGCGGGGAGAGCTGGTGATCATTTGACTCTAGCCTCCGGGAAGTCTCGTTCCACAAAGAACAAGAGGCTCTGGTGTTGTGAAATGAGTCACAGGCTGCCTTGACCGTGCCTATCTGGGGAGGCCAGGGCGGCCATGTATGGTCCGTGCTCCCGGCCACCCACCTCTCTGTGTCAGTCGCGGTGCTCTGCCAGGACAGCCTGAGTCATAAAACGCAGCGCATTCCTTGGGCATTGGGTAGTCTTTCCTTGTTCTTCCTTTGCTTTTGTTTTAGGCAGCACCTGGTTTCATTTTAAAAACCCAAATAAAACCGCACGGTCAGGGTGGGGGTGAGGGGACAGAAAGGAAAGACGAGGGAGAGAAAGGAGAAAAACCCAAGTCTGGGGAAGGCAGGGAAAGGCTGTACCTCCCCAGAGAGGCGAGATGTGGAGCAGAGACTGCACTGCAGGTGAAAGGCGGAGAGCAAGGGGCCTGCTGCCCAAGCCCCCCCGCCCCCTCCCGTGTACGAGAACGCAGCGGCTGACCGGCTCTCCTCCCACCCTCCTGCCTCCCACTAGGCCACAGTACTGGGAGAATCAGTGCTTCACTCATACACCACGCCACCTTCCCCAAGCCAGCCACCTGTGTTGTTGCTGTTGGATGCTTATTGATTTGTAAGGCAGAGAGGGAGGGGGAGAGGGGGAGGGAGAGAGAGAGAGAGAGAGAGAGAGAGAGAGAGAGATCTTCCATCTGATGGTTTTCTTCCCAAACGCCCACACAGTTGGACAGCTGGGTCTGGGCCAGGCCAGGATCTTCATCTGGGGCTCCCACGTGGGTGCAGGGTCCCAAGTACTTGAACCATCACCTGCTGCTTCCCAGGTCGCTCATTAGCAGAAGTGGGACAGGATCCTAGGCCTTCCGACGCGGGACGTGGAAGTTCTACGTGGCTCAACCTCTGGGCCGCAGTGCCCGCCCCCTCCTCCCGAGTCTCCTCAGTGAGTCACAGCCTGGTGTCTGGTGAACACTGAGGAACATCGTGTTGTGACGTCCATGATTGTAGGAATCGGCCTGTTCCCTCTTTCTGGGATGGCAAACCCTAACTCCCATGTGAGGCACGACTTTCCACAAGTTAACATGTTTCCTGCCCTTCCAGGAGAGAGGAATGGGGGCCAGGGAAGGAGGTGACACAGACCCACCCATTCCCAGGTTACCGTCAAATGGAATTTCCGCGGCCAGGTTATTTTTGTAAACTCCTCTGTGAGGCCTTGACATTGGTGTTTAAGATCAGAACGGAGCCGGCTCTGTGGTGTAGAAGGTTAAGCTTCTGCCTGCAGTGTCATCATCCCATATGGGCTCCAGTTGGGAGTACCAGCTGCTCCACTTCCAATCCAGCTCCCTGCTAATGCACCTGGGAAAGCAGCTGAGGCTGGCCCAGGCGCTTGGGCCCCTACACCCGTGTAGAAGACCCTGAAGAAGCTCCTGGCTTCAGATGGGCCCAGCTCTGGCTGCTGTGGCCATTTGGGGAGTGGACCAGCAGATGGAAGACCTTTCTCTGCCTCTCCCTCTCACTGTTAACACTGCCTCTCAAATAAATATTTTTTTTTTAATTTATTTATTTATTTATTTATTTTTTTGACAGGCAGAGTGGACAGTGAGAGAGAGAGACAGAGAGAAAGGTCTTCCTTTTTGCCGTTGGTTCACCCTCCAATGGCCGCCACGGCCGGCGCGCTGTGGCCGGCGCACCGCGCTGATCCGATGGCAGGAGCCAGGAGCCAGGTGCTTTTCCTGGTCTCCCATGGGGTGCAGGGCCCAAGCACCTGGGCCATCCTCCACTGCACTCCCTGGCCACAGCAGAGAGCTGGCCTGGAAGAGGGGCAACCGGGACAGAATCCGGCGCCCCGACCGGGACTAGAACCCGGTGTGCCGGCGCCGCAAGGCGGAGGATTAGCCTAGTGAGCCGCGGCGCCGGCCTTCAAATAAATATTTTAAAAAATAAAATAAAACAGAATTCTTATAAGCTAGGCTTTGCATCCAGTTTTTTAAAAAGTACTGAGTGAATGCCTGGTGGCCAGTCCGACGATGGAGAGCTGTATTTCCTTGTAGTAAGAGTAGTGACCACAGCACAGGCCCAGGGTTTCTAGGTCCCAGACACGGGGCTGCGAGCTCCAGCAAAGGCCTCTGCCTCCCTCTGCCTGAGATTCTCCAGTGAAGCTGCCAGGGCAAAAATCCTGGAGGTTCCTGAGTGGCTCCAGGGCTGCGTTTCCAATGCACGGTTTTGGCGAGTTTAATGGAAACCATAGGAAAGGTTCCCGGGAATCAGCCCAGATGGCTCCCCTGGAACGCATTTAGCCCAACCTGGACTAAAGGCCAAAAATACCCACTAGGAGTCTGGGGGTGGGGAGGGGGGAGAGGCAACTTGCAAGGAGCTTTCCACCCTGGCAGTCTCGGGAAACCGGGCTTAAGGGGAGCGGGGCGTGAGGGCGGGCCTGGGCCGCGGGCAGGGCTGGGAGGCTGCCCCTGTCCTACCCCGGCCCGGGCCTCCCCACGACGCCGCAGTAGTTGTGGCCCTCTGCGGCCCTGGGCGGCAGCGGCGGGGGGCTTCTCCCCGCGCGCCTGGTGAGGCGGTGCCGGGGCCTCCCGCCAGCTCGCCACGCACCGCTGGGGGAGGAGAAGGAGGCGGGCCGGGCCGTGTGGGCGGCACGATCCGGGGCAGGGAGAAGGCGGGTCGGGGGCCGAGGGGAGGCCCCGGGGCGTGCAGGGGAGGAGGATCGCCTAACGGGAAGGTGTAGGAGGAGGCCAGGAGCTGTCCTGTGGCTGCTGGGAGGGGCACGGTGAAGGAAGGAGGCAGATCCTGGCGGAAGAAGGGCTAGGGTGCTGGGGAGGAGGAAGAGGACCACAGAGGGGGGAGGGCTGTGGGCTTACGAGAGGAGGACAACCGTGGTGTGGAGGAGGCGGTGTGGGGGGGGGGTGGAGGGAGGAGGACCAGGGGTGTGGGGGATGGTGGAGGGAGGAGGACCATGGGTGTGGGGAGATGGTGGAGGGAGGAGGACCATGGGTGTGGGGAGATGGTGGAGGGAGGAGGACCAGGGGTGTGGGGGGATGGTGGAGGGAGGAGGACCACGGGTGTGGGGGATGGTGGAGGGAGGAGGACCAGGGGTGTGGGGAGATGGTGGAGGGAGGAGGACCATGGGTGTGGGGGATGGTGGAGGGAGGAGGACCAGGGGTGTGGGGGGATGGTGGAGGGAGGAGGACGATGGGTGTGGGGGCATGGTGGAGGGAGGAGGACCACAGGTGTATGGGGGGGATGGTGGAGGGAGGAGGACCACTGGGGGGGGATGGTGGAGGGAGGAGGACCATGGGGGGGGGATCGTGGAGGGAGCAGAAGGGCCGGGGACATAGGAAGAGGGGTAAGTAGAAGCTACGGACCTCCTGGCAGCGGCAGGCAGCGGAATAACAGGAAGGCAAGAGGGGGCGCCCGCTGCGGGCTCAGGCAGAGCTGGGCGTGAAAGGCGCAGGCCCTGGGCCTCAACGCCCTGCTTGCAGGTCGCAGACCTCCTGCTGGAACCTGGCAGGGAAGGCGCGGGCGCTGGGAGAACCCTGAACGCAGGGACACCTTCTCACACCCCCGCAGGGGCCGCAGGCCAGGGCGGGAGAGACCCTGTACGCAGGGGCAACTTCTCAGTCCCACGCAGGGACCCCAGGCCAGGGCGTCTTTTCTGCACTTCTAGGGAGGCGACTGCGCCCCACGTCTTCCTTTTGAGAGCTCTTATCAGTTCTAAGGATCACTCTGTCTCCCTCCTCCACGGACAGAGAAAAGCAGTGTGTGGGGGTGGGTTGGGGGTGGGGGCCACGCGGGGCCCAGGGAAGGGCCGGGCACGGGCGCGCTGCGGGGCCTCTTACCGCTCAGTGCTTGTCCCGCAGACTCCGGGCCTCCTGCGTTGCGGCCTCGCGGCGTCTCAGCTGAAACGCAAGAACGGCCTTCCCTGACCACAATCCGAGTACTGATCGGCCTCGGAGTCTTCGGAGGACACCGTCGAACTTCCAGAACCCCAGTGCTTGCGAAGCTGCGGAGACACGGCTTGCCTGTGAACGCGCGCTCACCCACAAAGGGCGCCTTTCCCCACGCGATGAGAACGAGGTGGTCCCAAACCAGACAGCACTCGTGAGCAGGAGGTGGGCTGGCGCCTGCCGCTTTTACCTCACCTGGAACCTTCCCGTGTCATAGGCTGTCAGAATCACTACAGAAGCCCCCACAGTCCCTTAATCCTCCTGTAGCCAAAGAGCCTCCTCCAACCCCCTCCCTCCTTTTCCTTTCATCCCAACATTCTTCAGGGTGCATTTCTGGCTTCATTCAAAAAATTATGGAAAATGCGTATTAGGAAAAAACTACACATGATTTCAAAACATATTTCTGCACCAAAACAAACACCTTTTAACCTCATTTTCCACGCAGGTTAGAATCACAGTGGTGCATCATGAATTCCGAGACTAGGACCTAACAATGTAAATATGTAGAGGTTCGTTACCAAAGGCACCAGACACCTGGCAAACACTGCTCAAAGTGAGAATATCCTTAAATAATGGTTGAAACGTTTCATTAAATCCCTGCTTGTTGCTAACGCAGGAATGGGCGTTTTTTTTTATCTCAAAACTTATTTTCCTTCCCCCAAGTAGAACACCCTTTAAAATATAGTAAGATTCGGAGCAGGTATTTGCACAGGGGTTAAGTCGCCCTGTTTCCTTATCAGGGTGCCTGGGTTCAAGTCCTGCCTCTGCTCTGTATGTCAGCATTCTTCCTTATGTGCATCCCGGCAGGCAGCAGGTGATGGCTCAAGTGCTGAGATCAACTAGACGGGTTCTTGCCTTCAGCCTGGTTCAGACCCAGCTGTTTTAGGTATCTGGGGAGTAAACCAGCAGGAAAACCTCTCCCCCCCCCCTCTTTCAAATGCAATGAAAATAAAGCAATTTTTAAAATAGGTACAACGACTTGCCTTGTCTCATAAGTTAAGCAATCATGATTTTTTTTTTTCAATCAGGACTGTAGGGCCAAGCTTTCTCAGATAAGCTCCAATATTAATAGTGGGGGGTATGCAGTGCGGGGTGGGGGTACGTTTAGTTTCTTCTTGCATCACCACAACAGGAGCAGGGTGTAGTGTCACTTATCGTCCAGCATGGCTGACTTACCGGCGGTGGCTGGGTGCACAGAGAATTCCCTCTCGGGGAGAAGCCGGGGAAGCACCTTACAGAGAACGGCAGCTGTTTGCTGGAACAGCTGCAGACACTGATTGGCAATGGAATCGCTTGGCAGCGGCACAGCGCTGTGCAGCAGGAGGGATTATTTATTTAACAATAGTTAATGATTCTCCCAAGCCATTCCCAGGAGGCCAGCAAGCAGTACGAGACTTTCAGGAAATCATCTCCCCTTCCTAGAAGCAGCCACCAAGCCCCGGGGGTGCAGGGAGGTCTCTGGCTGCCCCCACAAGATACAGAACTTGCTGTGGACCACACAGCTTCAAGTGCCCCCGAGTAACCCCTCCACAGCCTGCCACAGCCTGCCACAGCCCTGCCTTCCTGTGCTTGAAATGCACCAGGTCCTCAAGCAGAAAACTCAAGAAAAATGCACCATTTTGGTTACCATTAAAGTAGACTAGCTGTCTGGGAGCCAAGGGGGATCATCCAGCCCTGTCCCATTAGCTAAATTCATCAGATTCTCAAGTTCACGGCTGTGGACCAGCATTTCCGAAGTGCTATGTGTCTGTAACAGGTGGTTCTGTGATTATGTCAGCTGGTACTTGAAAAACTTTTTTTTTAATGCTCAGGATTTTTTTTTTCTAACATGAGGGGAGTTCAAAAAGTTCATGGAGAAACAATTCGAAGATAAGTTTATCACAGTGCAAAAGGTTTTGAAAGCCGGCATACCAGGGGTCTTCAACAAGTTCATGGAAAATGCATGTTATGTGTATCATGCGTGGATTTCAACGTTTTCTGCACCAAAATGTATCTTTTCATTGCATTTTCCATGCATTTTTACCTTCATACACATAGCTAGCATATCACATCAATGGTATTGCAAATATAATTACTTAATGTGAGTGAAGTTTTTTTAAAGTTAACAAAGATATCCTAATAAACAAAGTAGGATAGCAAAAACAGTCATAACTTCTTAATAATTGAACTCAGGAGGGTTCATGGAAAAACCAGTTTTTATTCTTTCTTTCCACTTATTCTGTAAGAATCTCTGCCAGAACTCTAGGACATACCATGAATTGCATTTGAACATCCTGATAGAAATAGTGGGCTTTGAGAAAGTCTGGTTAGACCAGGGAGAACCCCTGGTCTGAAGGGCCACAACAGGGAGCAGGCAGGTGGCAGGACAGGCGCGTGAGGCGGTAGCCCCTGGACCCTGGGCACGAGGGAAGGACACTCAGCATTTCCCACCTTTTTCACAATACCCCCAAATCTCACTGGCTTATTATTTGGACAGTGCAATTCCCATAATCCTCTTTGAGGTTCATTTCTCCCAAGCTGGAAAAATCTATGCAATTGTTCTAGGCTTTCAGGAAGACTGTACCTTGTCTCACAAGAGCTCTACTTTTCATCTGATTATAAATCAGAACAGCCTTTTATACCAGCTCTGAACGCTCACACCCACGGGCAGGCAGACGCACCCGGCAGCCCACTTCCTGTGGCTCCCCAGGGTTCCCCTTTCGGATGACAGTAAGAAGATTCTTACATGACTCAGGAAGCCTTCCCCTTGTCTCTTGTAGTTCAGTAAGATCACATGTGCTGGCCTGGTAGGCCTCATATCTAGGGTGAAAAGGCAAACAATGTGTAAGTGCTGATGGCAGCCAGAGTCTGCTGGGACTTCCTGACATTCCTCAGTCAGTTCTTCCAATCCCAGGTGGGCATTTAGTCTTACTGGTTAAGAAGCCCAAGACCCATATGGGAGTGCCTGGGTTCAATTCCTAGCTCTGGCTCCTGACCCCAGCTTCCAGCTAATGCAGACCCTGGGAGGCGGTGGCGATGGCTCAAGTTGCTGGATCCCTGCCATCCATGGAGGAGATGAAGTTGAGTTCTGTGCTCCCACCTTCAGCCTGGCCCAGCCCTGGCTGCGGCAGGCATTTGGGGAGTGCACCAGCAGATGGGAGATCTCTCTGTGCGTCTCACTCTATCTGCCTCTCAAATAAATCAACACAAATTTTAAAATAATAGTTCCACGCCGGCTGTGGCGGCCATTTGGGGAGTGAACCAACAGAAGGAAGACCTTTCTCTCTCTCTCTCTCTTTCTCTCTGTCTATAACTCTACCTATCAAAAAAAAAAAAAAAAAAAAGAATAGTTCCAAACTCTTTCATATATAATCCCGATCCCGGCCACCGCCACAACCTCCTCATGTACACCTCCTGTTTCAGAGCTGCTGAGTGCTGAGTGGCCCATCTGTCGGATTTCTCCTTCCTGTTACTTCTGCCTCCAACTCTCCTTTTTGTTAGAAGAGGGACAGGAAGGGGCAAGCAGAATGCAACCAGCCTTAAATGGCCCCAGACTATGAAAAATAAGAAAGTATCAGATGGAGATCATGATTAAAATAAAGGCAGAAAAAAGACATCAAGCAGTAGTTTAGGAGGAGACTTACAGATTTTTCCATAACTTCGAGGTGCCGGAGAAAAATCATCAAAGCACCAAATTTGGTGTGCCTGCAAAAAGGAGAGCTCAAAGTCAATCCCAACCACAATAACAGAAACCTAATAAAATTATTAGATTTGGCCGGCGCCGTGGCTCACTAGGCTAATCCTCTGCCTGCGGCTCCGGCACCCCGGGTTCTAGTCCCGGCTGGGGAACCGGTTCTGTCCTGGTTGCTCCTCTTCCAGGCCAGCTCTCTGCTGTGGCCCAGGAAGGCAGAGGAGGATGGCCCAAGTGCTTGGGCCCTGCACCCACATGGGAGACCAGGAGGAAGCACCTGGCTCCTGGCTTTGGATCGGCGCAGCGCTGGCTATAGCAGCCATTTGGGGAGTGAACCAACGGAAGGAAGACCTTTCTCTCTCTCTCTCTCTCTCTCTCTCTCACTGTCTAACTCTGCCTGTGAAAAAAGAAATTTATTATATTCTCTCTGTAATTCAAAAGACGCTTTGATACTGCTGTGAGAAGCTGCCATAGGCCAGGGGGTGTTTAGTTTAGCAGTTAAGAAGTCCACATCCCACATCAGAGTGCCTGGGTTGAATTCCTGGCTCTTGATCTCGACTCCTGCTTCCTGCCAGTGTAGACCCTGGGAGGCAACAGTGATGGCTCAAGTGACTGGGCTCCTGCTGCCCACGTGGGAGACCTGGATTGCATCCCTCCTGGCTGCCACCTGACTCAGCTCAGTTGTGGTGGGCATTTGAGGAATGAACCAACAGATGGGCAATCTCTGTCTGTGTTTGGCTCTTAAATGAATAAATAAGTACATAAAGAAAGTCTTAAAAATTCACTTTAATAACAGATAATAACAGTAAAATGCAATGACAAAATTGGAGAAAATATTAATGAAGTAGGAGAACAATCCTAGCTTTCATGAGTCTATAAGACAAAGCTAAACATCCTACTAGAAAAATGGCAAAGGAAATAAACAGTCATACCCTATCATTCATGGATTCCAGATTTACAAATTCACCGACTTGCTAGAATTTATGTGTAATCCTAATCCCAAAGTCAATACTAACAGCACCTTTGAGGTTATCTGTGGACATGCCTGGAGTGGCAAAAATTCAAGTCACCAGACAGGTACCTTCCCAGCCTGAAGGTGAACAAGGCAAACAAGGTCGTACTGACGTCAGGTGTCCTTTGCAAAGCCTATTTAGTGTCATATTTTTGCCATGTTTTTTTTTTGGTAATTTCACCATGCGCAATGGCTCCAAGAACTGGGCTGAAGGGCTGTCCAGCATTCCTAAGCACAAGAAGCCTGTGATATGCCTTCCAGAGAAAAGACCTGTGCTAATTAAGATTCCCTTACCTATGATGTAGAACCCTGTTGGCTGTGAGCTCAGTGGTAATAAATTAGCAACCTATATTAAAGTGTCTTTAACAGAAACATACATACAAAGTTACATATTGCTCTGCTGGCAAAAAACATTGTGATTGGCGGCTCACAGGATCCTACCCTGGCATTTCCTGGGAGCAATGGTTCAGTACTCCTTAATTCAGAGTTCAAGGTCAAGGCAACATTTAGAAACATAACTACCGCAAATAATGAGAATCAGCCTGAAGAACTATCAACAATTAATAAACATAAGATACTCAACTTCACTGATAAATAAATGAAATTGAAAAAATTTTAATATCCTCATCTACCAAATTGGAAAGCACTAAGATTATTTTTTTACAGCCAGTGTTGGAGACAGCGCAGGAAAAGGCACTCTCTTGCACTGTTGTTCTGGAAGGCAATTCGGCCATATAGAAGTGGAGTGAGACAGGCGCATGGCACAGTGGTTAAGACACTACCTGGGCTGCTCAGACCCCGGAACAGAGGGCCTGGGTTCAAGTCTTGGTTCTGCTCCTGATTCCAGCTTCCCACTAATGCACACTCAGGGAGGCAGCTGGTTGTAGCACAGGCACTTGTATCCCTACAGATGGAGTTTTTGGCTTTGGCCTGGCTCAGCCCTGCATGATGCACGCATGTGGGGCATGAACCAGCATACGGAAGATTCCTCTCTGTTGGACTCTCTGTCTCTGCCTTTGAAATAAAATGAAAATAAATAATTTCCAAAATATAAGTGTACCTTCTGATTCAAGATTGTTGCTTAAAGGTATGTAACCTGAAAAGATTATTTCGCAATTGCAAGATATAATATATATTCAAATTTTATTTATCACAGCATTGTTCCTATTAGTCATGAATTTAAGAAACCTAAATACCTGGTGACATGGCCTCTTTTAAACTTGTGATTTATTCTCTCAATGGAATACTATGGATCCATTAAAAAATGACGACAGGAAAGATGTGGTGGCACAGCAGGTTAACCCACGGCTTAGGATGCCCTCATCTCGTATTGGAGTGCCTGGTTCAAGGCCTGGCTGTTCTGTGCATCTGAGTCAGCTCTATACTCATGTGCCTGGGAGGCAGCAGATGTAACTGAAGTCCTGCCACCCGTGTGGGAGCTCAGATGGGACTCCTTGCTCCTGAACCCAGCCTGGCCTAGCTCTAGCTGTTGTACCATTTGAGAAGTGACCCAGTGGTTAGATGATGTCTCTCTGTGGTGGTATCATGGCACAGTGAGTTAAGCTGACACCTGCTAGGCCAGAATCCCATATGAAAGCCCATATGACTGCCAGTCTGAGACCTCAGTGGAGTTCCAGGCCCCTGGATGTGGCCCTGGCTACTGTGGCCATTTGGGGAGTGAACCAGTGGAAGGAAGATCTCTCTCTCTCTCTCTCTCTCTCTGCATTTCAAGTAAATAATTTTCCACTCTGTATTTCAAGTAAATAATTTTCAAAAATGATGACAAAGCACTATGTTTATTAACACTGAAAGATGTCCATGAAAATACTGAATGATAAAAACCAATTACAGGGGCTTGCGCTGTGGCATAGCTGGTAAAGCTGCCGCCTGCAGTGCCAGCATCCCATATGGGCACTGGTTCAAGTCCCGGCTGCTCCACTTCTGATCCAGCTCTCTGCTATGGCCTGGGAAAGCAGTAGAAGATGGCCCAAGTTCTTGGGCCCCTGCACCCGCAAGGGAAGATCCAGAGGAGGCTCCTGGCTCCTGGCTCCTGGCTTCAGATCGGCACAGCTCCACCTGTTGCGGCCAACTGGGGAATGAACCAGCAAATGGAAGACCCCCTTCTCTCTCTCTCTCTCTCTGCCTCTGCTTCTCTCTCTGTGTAACTCTGACTTTCAAATAAATAAATAAATCTTTAAAAAAAATTACAGAGAACAATGCCCAGTATATGAATTCATCAGTATACTCTCTGCGTGTGCATATATTTTTATGCACTCATAAGTATAGAGAGACATTCGTAAGGAAGTTTACTAAAATGTAAATAGTGATTATCTCTGAGGGAAAGTAAGGAGTTTGGATGATTTTTGCTTTTGTTTCCATTTCTCTGTATTATATGAAAGTTTACAATCTGAGAAAGGCTGTTTTTGTTTTTCTTTGCCAATAGAGTAAATGTAATTACCACCATGCATGAGAAAGAGGAAAAGTTGGTGACAATGATGAAAGGAGAGCATCATCAGTTGTTGACAATTTGTAACACTTTTGTAGTCTTTGCATCCCCATCACCCAGTAGAAAGCCACACACATAGATATCTGACAAATGAGTATTATTTTAAAACTAATTCTAACTGCTTTTGACTTATTTCCATATGAATACTACACAGAGGATAATCATTTAAGCTCTCTACATGTAAATGAGCACTGAGAAACATTAGACTCACCACTCCATGCTTGATGTCAAGTGACTTTTTTAAGGGCCTCGTTATATCAGGGAGCAGTCCTGAATGCAAACAAAGAGGGGAAATCAGGGTTAAAGCCAGTCTTAGTACAATTTCTTATGCTCCCAATTAGACAATTATCAAAAACAATAATAAGAAGGGCTGGCGCTGAGGCTCAATAGGCTAATCCTCCACCTGCGGCGCCGGCACACCGGGTTCTAGTCCCGTTCGGGGCGCCAGATTCTGTCCCGGTTGCCCCTCTTCCAGGCCAGCTCTCTGCTGTGGCCAGGGAGTGCAGTGGAGGTTGGCCCAAGTGCTTGGGCCCTGCACCCCATGGGAGACCAGGAGAAGCACCTGGCTCCTGCCTTTGGATCGGCGTGGTACGCCGGCCGCGGCGGCCATTGGAGGGTGAACCAACGGCAAAGTAAGACCCTTCTCTCTGTCTCTCTCTCTCACTGTCCACTCTGCCTGTCAAAAAAAAAAATAATAATAAGAAGAAGAAGAACAAAAGGACACATATCACTTGTTTCCCTTTTGCATTCCACCACCAAAACAAAAATGAGAGTTGGTCAGGTCAGACGAAGCAGTAGCTAAAAGTGAAATTGTAATCAACCTGGAGGTTTGGTGTAAGCATTTTTAGGTCTGGAACAGTCTTCTGTGATACAGTGCTTATACTCCTAGAAAATCAGAAGGAACCAAGGCTATACTGAAATTCCAAGGCTGTAAATCTTTCTTAAGGTCTTAAGGAACTCTGGTATATTTTTAATCAATTTTATTAATGTATAACTTACATAAGATTGACTCAGATCAACTGTACAGTTCAGTGATTTTGAGTAAACTTGTCAAGTTGGGCAACCATCACCACAGCCATCCTTTCATAAACCCAGTATTGCTTGTTTGAAAGGTAGACTGACAGAGAGAGAGAGAGAGAGAGAGACAGACAGACAGACAGACAGACAGACACAGAAAGAAATCTGCCATCAGTGGTGGTTCTTTACCCAAATGACCACAATGGCCAGGGCTGGCCCATGCCAAAGCCAGACACCTGATACTCCATCCTGGACTCCTATATGAGTGGCAGAGACCCAAGAACATGGGCTATCCTCCACTACTTTCCCAGGCCATAAGCAGGGAAGAGGATCTTAAGTGGAACAGCCAGGACATGAACCGGCACCTATATGGGAAGCCAGTACTGCAGGTTGTCACTTTAACATGCTGTGCCACAGTGCTGGCTCCTGACCAATATTTTTAATCCCTCATGCCCACTTCATTTCCTTTCTTACCATCAGCCCTCAGCAAATCCTTGATCTATGCTCTTTCTCCATAGATTTGCCTTTACTGGACATTTCATATAAATGGAATCATACACTATGTGGTCCTTTACCTCTGAATTCTTTAGTTGCCATCATGTTTTTGATATTTGTCCACATTGTAGTGCTTTGTTCTTCATTGCTGAATAGTATTCCATTGTATGGCTATTACACATTTTGTTATCCATTCACCACTAGATAGGCAACTAGAGTTGCTACCAATTTTGGCCACGTAGGATAATGCTGTGGTCAACACTCATGTGCAAGTCTTTGTGTAGACATGTTTTCATTTCTCTTGGGTAAAAATCTAGGTGTAGAATTGCTGGGTCCTGTGATACATTTATGTTTAACTTGTAAAGAAATTGCTAAAGTATTCTGCAAAGCAGCTCTGTTACTATTTTATATTTCCACAGCAATGAGTGGAGGTTCCAGTTTCTCCAGATCCTCACCAGCATTTGTTTATATCTGTTTTGTGATGACAGCCATTCTGATGGACATGCAGTGGTATCTCATTGCTTTACGTTTCTTTTAAAGATTTATTTTATTTATTTGAAAGATAGAGTTACAGAGAGAGGTAGAGACAGAGAGAGAGGTCTTCCATCTGCTGGTTCACTTCCCAGATGGCCGCAACGGCCAAAACCACCCCGATCCAAAGCCAGGAGCCAGGTGCTTCTTCCTGGTCTCCCATGTGGGTACAGGGGCCCAAGGACTTGGGCCATCTTCTGCTGCTTTCCCAGGCCATAGCAGAGAGCTGGATCAGAAGTAGAGCAGCCGAGACTTGAACTGGCAAACTGGCGCCCATATGAAATGCCAGCGCTTCAGGCCTGGGCTTTAACCTGCTGTGCCACAGCACCGGCCCCTATTTATTTATTTTTATTTGAAAGGCAAAGTTACAGAAAGGCAGAGGCAGAGTGAGAGAGAGAGAGGTCTTCCATGCACTGGTTCACTCCCCAAATGGCTGCAACAGCCAGACCTGGGCTTATCTGAAGCCAGGAGTCAGGAGCTTCTTCCAGGTCTCACACATGAGTGCGGGGGTCCACGGACTTAGGCCAACTTCTGCTGCTTTCTCAGGCCATAGCAGAGAGCTGGACTGGAAGTGGAGCAGCCAGGATTTGAACAGGCTCCCATATGGGATGCCAGCACTGGAGGTGGTGGCTTTACCTGCCATAGCTCTGGCCCCTCTCATTGTTTTTTAAATTGATATTTCCCTAATAATCACTCACGTTGAGTTCTCTGGTGTGTTTTAATTAAAATAGTTTTAAATGCTAATGGAGAGTCCTGGTTGGCAAAACAGGGTCTGGCTTTGAGTGGACAAGGCAAAGGAGAGGAACAGCCTTTAGCAAGCACTCATTATTTGTGCTATTTTATGTTAATAAACTTTTTTTTTTTTTTGACAGGCTGAGTGGACAGTGAGAGAGACAGAGAGAAAGGTCACCTTTTACCCTTGGTTCACCCTCCAATGGCCGCCGCGGCCGGCACAGCGCGCTGATCCAAAGCCAGGAGCCAGGTGCTTCTCCTGGTCTCCCACGGGGTGCAGGGCCCAAGCACTTGGGCCATCCTCCACTGCACTCCCTGGCCACAGCAGAGAGCTGGCCTGGAAGAGGGGCAACCGGGACAGAATCTGGCGCCCCGAACGGGACTAGAACCCGGTGTGCCGGCGCCGCAAGGCGGAAGATTAGCCTATTGAGCCGCGGCGCCGGCCAATGTTAATAAACTTTTAAAAGAAAGGTATCTTAAGACAAAGCTGAGGAGCTTAACAATTATTTAGCTAAATTCAAGAAAACCTCACTTTTTCATAGCTCCAGGAAAAGCAAATGGATAAGAAGTTTATCCTGCATAATTATTGACTGCTTCACTCTCTAAATTCTTAGCCTTTCAAAGCTCTCTATAAGACTTTTATACATTCCATAGGCCTGCCAGAAGCTTAACTGGCTTTTTGTTAGCCTTTCTTTCAAGAATTACACTAGATAATCATTAATTAGTAAACTACATGAGTCTATAACATACAAATTTTACAGAAAGTCATTTGAACAAATTATGGGGGGAGGGGAACAAAACCAAGAACAGATACTAGACCATTGCCATGTCCATGTGTTATTTACATGGTTGTGTTCATCTTTAAGCCAAATTTGGTCACTTTTCTGAGTCAGAAATGTCTCTCCTTTTCTTTGGTTTGTTTTTGGAGAGGAATGAGTAAGCTCACATATGCTGGAATATGGTTAGCCGAAGACTTCGCTTTGGGAGTTCATAGTTGACAAAACAGAACCCACAGCTCGACTTGACCCTGGCAGTTTCAGCTCACCTTCTGATTAACGACTTTTAATGGCACCCTCATTTGCTAGCAGGTATCTACCTCTCTGTTCTACTTCCTACTCCTACAACTGGAACCAAATTGGGTAATTTTGTGGATGAAACTATCTCAGTAACCATCAACAAATCCTACCTTTAGATATTAAGTGCTTACAAGATGTGTCAACCCTGATGGAATGCTACAGGTATCTGATGTTTAAAACTAAATTATCAAGAAAGCAAGTGTAGGCTTGTTGATATCAGCTCTTGCACAAAGAAGCTCAAGTTTGGAAGCATGTTCCTAGGTCTTTCATTCGAATCATTTAGTCCACCTACTGGGTATCTATCATAGTACAACACCAGTCTTATTTGTGATTCAGCTTTTTTTTTTTTTTTTTTTTTAACAGATTGATGAGAATTCCATCTCCCACCTACCCATCTCAGAGACTCCTTAAAACTCTGAGTTCCGGCCAGCGTCTTGGCTCACTAGGCTAATCCTCCACCTGCGGTACCGGCACTCCAGGTTCTAGTCCCGGTTGTGGCGCTGGATTCTGTCCCTGTTGCCCATCTTCCAGTCCAGCTCTCTGCTGTGGCCAGGGAGTGCAGTGGAGGATGGCCCAGGTGCTTGGGCCCTGCACCCCATGGGAGACCAGGAGAAGCACCTGGCTCCTGGCCTCGGATCAGCACAGTGCGCTGGCCGCAGTGTGCCAACTACAGCGGCCATTGGAGAGTGAACCAATGGAAAAAAACAAACAAACAAACAAACAAAAAAACTCTGAATTCCTTTAAAGGAAAGTTCATGAGCACAAAACATAAGGAGAGAAAATGAAGACAAGCTACTCTCCATCCTTAGGGAGTATTGTGTCTTAAATTGCATGTACACAAAGCAAGAGCTTTAGATTACAAAACACTTAACCTGAAGTCCATGGACACCCTGGAGGGATCCAAGCTGTGAGCATTGTTGGCTTGCAAGAGGGTACTTCAAAATGTTCATGGAAAATGAAATGACAAGATGTTTATTTTGTGCTGGGAGGTGAGTGGCAGTGGGAGTCGAAGGGTGGGGGAGGGGGAAACATTATGAAAAAACTGCACAGATTTCAAAATTTTGCACTGAAATAACCTTGTCTTTTAATTCTCTTTTCCCTCTAATCTTTTGAAGTATCCTCATGCAAGTGTCTGTGGATAGTTTTCTGAAAATAAGGCCCAGAGCTGTCATGATATTTTTCAAAGTGCCTCAAAAATATAAGATATCACTGTCTTGGAGAGTTTTTTAACCACTGGGAGAGATTACAGGACAAATCTCTTTTCTTGACAGTCTTAAGAATAAGGCACTCAATGGTCTGCACGCTTGATAAAAATTAGTCTATCAAAGTTAAATTTTTCAAGTGTTATAATGATATGTGGTTATGTAAGAGAACATTCTTACTCATAGTAGACACATGCTGAAGAATTTTTAGATATGC